GGGTATGTTGTTTACATGATCCAGTAATTTACTTGATCTAACTTGTTTCTAAGTTAATATTTTCAGCAAAATTTCATGAAGTTTCAGAGGGAGACTACCATTCTCGTTTCAGTCTCACAAATGGCACTTATGATGGAATGAATATATGATTCACTCGACAATAAAGGAAAGATAAGTACCAACTCATTTGGCAATTGACACGAATCCAGGACAAAATCCACCCGGACAAAATCCACCCCAAAATTGCAACCTAGGACAAAATCCACCTGGACAAAATCCACCCTTAATAAATTCCACCCTAAGAAAAACAAAACTAATGACATGTTTAGTCACAGAAATGAATTTTATTCATATCAGTCATTCATAATCGATAACAAAAACAGTCAGTCTGAATAGTTCTTATTTGTTTGATCGTATTTTGACAAACCCATAAAGTATACTGTTATCATTGCTCAGAGCATAACACCAAAATCAGGAAAACCAAGCCTTACAAAATACAATAGGCTTAATACAAAACCAGTCTTAATCCAAATATGCTCATAAGCCAATTTACCTATCAGCAGTTAGTACTTAATACATGACTCATTCTCATCACTGTTTAATTTGTTATTTTTCAAGAATTTCCTTGAAAACAGGTATTATCATGCCAATGCTCTGGCTGGGGGGACAAACTGCCACCTTTCATGTCGGATTAGAAACCTTATCAGCTTTACAAGCACATCTGTTTTATGAGTGTTTGCATGAGATTTCAATGCAATTACAATGATGCTTCCCAAACAACTGATCACTATCACACAGTCTGGTCAAACACCATACTTATTTCTCATTTGATCTTGCATAACTTAATCCCCAGGTCTGCTCAGCCAACCTTTCATCTCCTTAAGCTGAGCTTCACCAACATCCAGACAAATTAATACCTTGATGATATGCCCCTAAATTGTGATTCCATGCTTTGATGTCATGGCAAAATGAAACACTGGTATGTAACATTGAAACAGAGCCAAGGAATTTGTAACTGTGAATATAATGATGAGGACAATACAATGTGAAGTGATGAGATTTGATAGGGAAGAAACAAGATTGCCAGGTGGAGGTAAGATTTAAGAAGTCAACATTAAGTTGGGATAGTACTGTGCCATGCACATTATATATATTATAGGTAGGTAGGTAGGTAGGTAGGTAGGTATAAAAAGAAAGTGAGAGACTTGGAAATAGTAAAGAATAAGTGAGTGAGTGAGTATGGTTTTACACCGCTTTTAGCAATATTCCAGCAATATCACGGCAGGGGACACCAGGAAAGGGCTTCACACATTGTACCCATGAGGGGAAGTGAACCCGGTTTTTTTTAGCATGACAAGCTAACGCTTAAACCACAACGCTACCCCACAGCCCCCAGAGAGGGGGGAAAGAGGAGGGTAGAGAGTGATGAGTGGAAGAAAGCAAGAAGAGAGACAGATAAAGAGAGTGAAAGAGATGGGAGGAATGGGAAGGGAAAAGGAGAGGGGGGAGGAAAGAGTAGAGAGGAGAGAAAGAGGGGCAGAGAGATTATGCATTGCATTACTCCAAGTGACAGACCGACTGTGAGAGGGGAGGAGGGGGTGTTCTGAATGGGGGGAGATGCCATGGGGCTTCAGCACTCATGTGGACAGGGGTCACTTGGGCCTTTGTTTGGGTCAAGAAGCACTCCAGGCTGCTGTGTTTACCAGTGCGGCCAAATTTGAGTATGCAAATTAGAATTTGTGTTGCTGGGGGACAAGCTGGAATGGCCTGGCGTAACAAAGATGGGAACGAAACCAGTCACTAGTGACATGATTATTAATGCATTCTATCATGGGTGATTATTTCAGGATTCATGTGAAGGTATCTTGACTTTTGTTCTCTTCTGTTCCATGCTTTGCTGAACTGGAAGCCTCCAAACTCAACTGAACTGGAAATTGTGGGTCCCTCACAATACAAGCTGAACACTGACAACTATTAGTATTGAATAAAAACTTGACTGTCACTGTGTCACTTTGTACATACATGTCAACAGAAGACCTTATCATCATAGCCTTACATTACTACTGTCGACAACTCTTCTTCACGCGGAACGGGACTTGTTTAACATCCCATGATTATTTTATGAATTTATTGTGACAAGAATGGACAAGTATGTGTGGGTGCTTGTACTAGTCCAGACAAACATTGGTTTTACATTGCTCACCCACTCTATAGTCCTATTACAATGAAATATCATGCTGCAGTTTAACATTGACACCCTACACAGACACAGTATATACTGACGCTGAAGGGGTCGTTGTCAGCACAGGTACTACAGATATGTACCCGATACCTTAAAAGATGGACGAGTCCATATTCCTAACCCAATATCGAAACCGTATATAGTTATTCCCGTAGCTGATTGCGAGTGGTGTACGTTGTGCACCGCGAAATATTTTTTTTTACTGTGTATACTCTTATATAACGCAATCAAATGCATCTAATAGAACAGTAATGACAGTTTCGATCAAGAAAACGGCACAATGCAGAATGGAATCATCCGACAACGACCCCTTCAGCTATACTGACTCCCAACTGACCAGTCCTTGTTGAATCCCCTGAATGCCAGACAGTGTATTAATGAAGTACCAACATTTAACTTCTTTATGTGTGATGTGGCAATGGCTTTGGATTGAGTGAGTGAGTATGGTTTTACGCCGCTTTTAGCAATATTCCAGCAATATAATGGCAGGGAACACCAGAAATTGGCTTTACACATTGTACCCATGTGGGGAATCGAACCTGGGTGTGCAGCTTGACGAGCGGACAATTTAACTGTTAGGCTGTCCCATAGTCTGTCGTACAGACCCTGAAGCAAATATATCCAAGAAAGCCCACACAAGTCTAGAAAATGTGGCAAGTCTAGATTTCCTCAGCTGAAAATGAAGAAAGTCTCAGGGCTCCTTTTCATTATATTTTTTTTTTTTTTACTATGAACTTTTTTCAGTAAAATATGTTCATTTCAGAGACTAGTTGTTAGTCTAGCTGTCACATCTCCCCTTGGCTTTGGAGCAACAAAGATTCAAAGATTCCAACATGGACAAGTTATTTGCTTAATGTTATTAGCTGGAGAGAGGAGAGAGAGAAATGGTGTTACACTGTTTTCATTACATTTTTTCCAAAACCTTTAACATATACGCCAACGTAACTCTTAAATGCTTCTCTTGAAGAATGAATAATTGGGATAGTTGATGGAATCTGTAAATAAACTTGAGAAAAATGGATGAATTTATTCATGAGTGAAAATGCAAATATATCATAGGCCATGAAAACTGAACCTCACTAGAAATTGCCACTGGCAAAAAAACTTTAAACCTGATGGGATGTGTCATTCAAGGAACAGTAACACTACCACTAAAATCTTGATATTTATGAAATGAATTAATATAAAAACCTCAATCTTGACAAGAAAAAACTTTATTTATTTCACTAAGTTACAAAAGATCCTTTTAACAACAAGAAACATTTTGCTTACATTTCATCCTCATAGCCAAATTACTGAGGTAAATAAATATGTCACAGGATAGGAATAAGACAGAAAAAGTAAAAAAAACCATACAGATTTCATTGATACTTTACATGATATTTATAAATAAAAACAAAACATTTTACACCAATATAAAAGTGAAGGTTCCTTAACAAAGCAGTGTAGGGACTTGCCAACCACAGCTAGTTGTTCTGATAATAGCATGTAATAAATTTGCCTTATCCAAAAAGTTAAAGATAACTAAACATTGACATGAAACGCATTCTCCTTCCTCCTTCAGTGATGTGAACAAGTACTGCATTGAGCACAGAGGAAAATAGGATCAAATCACTCTCTGAGCATTAGTCACCACACATCTTTTCAAATGAAATAGTTTACAAATGTAGTTGAATAATTAATGACATCCCTGATAAGTCGAGTATGAAAAACATCCTCTGCACGCCTATTCCCAATATTGTTGCTGCGCAGTTAACTCATCACACTAGACTTGCTTTATGGGCATAGAAATATCTGTGTAAGGTTTGCACCTGCCGCATACAAAGCTAAACCAAAACACTGTGATACCTGATCCATTTATGGGAGACCATCACACACTGTAATGTATGCAGTAATTTACATTCCTGCCTTTCTGTCACAGGTTCTACTACGTATGTAGAATACTGACTGACTGTCAGCGTAAATGTTGTGGAGGTGAGGTGTTGAAATGGGGTTTAACACGTGTTCCCGGCTATAACACTCGTATTGCAGCATGCATGTACATGTGTGTTGAGAGTGTGGGCTGCTTGTACTAGTACAGACTATCTATTATTATTAGTACAGGATAATTATATAGCGCTTGAAATCCACGCAACTAGTGCATGCTCAAGGTGGTGGTATTTTTTTCCCTCGATCATTTGATGTCAATCTCAACGGCACACATTGTATTAAACAATCTCAACTCCCTGAGGAGTATACAACTCTTGCTGCCACTAGGTGCACAGAGTTATTGTGGCTTTCTCATCCTAACGAGGTACCCATTCACAGCTGGGTGGACTGGGACACATAGTCACAGTACTTTGTCCAAGCTCACTGCATGTTGTTCTACCCGCAACTAGGTGTTTGCATGCATTCATGTGGCCACCATCTGGTCATATACCAACGGATTCGTGGGTTCTTTTAAGTGCACAGGGTTGTGTACTGTACACTAGGGGTTGTGACAACACTGAAAGAGTCTGCAAACAAAGTTGACTCCAAGGTTTTCACACCCGGTCACATGCAGGCTCGATCCGGACACCTCAGCCTCACTGGATCACTAGCCTGGCGCCTTAGCCAGCTCACCGACCACACCCACTAATGTTGTTTTATATCACCAGCCTGATGAGATAACATGCCGGTGTATAACATGTATACATGTGTATATGTGTGAGTTTATCTCCTTCATGCTCAGCATCACACAGGGTAACAACCAATAGTGTCTCTTAACATCTTTTGGTTTAGGGTAGACAGGTATTGCAACATCAAACTTATTATCCTAAAGACATTGTAATAATTTTTATGTTTTTTAGGAATGACTCTTGAAAACGTTCTAATGTCATTTGTTTTCCATGATGATCACAAAGTTCAATTTTCTATGACTTCAAGTCAAGTACATATTTCTTCTTTCTTATCCTTGCTCAACAAAATCTCTTTGTCGTGTAAATTTAATATGGCAGCCTGTGAGGTTCTGCATTTGGTATCACACACTGACTTACGGGTATAAACTATGCACTGTTAGGAACTGAGGGAGGTCCCGAGTGAGAGGCAACTGCAGTAATTGGATCAAGTCACCCCTGAATGTATTATATTAATATAAGGTTTATTAAGGGACTATTGACTTTCATGCCTGTTTATTACATTTGGTATGGTTTTATGTAGCTTCAAGCATGATTACAACCCCATCGATGAAGTGTTCACCGAGAACTGACTTACCTCAACTGTGAACCCGGGATTGAACCTGTGACGACAAGCTAGCACATTAACCCTTGAGTTCCTCCATATTTCACATAGACATCTGTCAGTCAAAGCAAGCTTGCTATCTTTCAATGCAATCAGCTTCAATTCATAATTTCAGTACCTTTATTAAAGAAGATCAGGTTGTTTAAATTCGGATGACAGCTCATAATAGGAATCATGCCACGACCTTTCCAGACCCTTTCAAGTGCACTTAACACCAGCATGAAACATTAATTCAATCACAACTATTCATCCCAACAAATTACAAACAAGCAAAGCAGACACACTTCACCTTTCACTAAAGTCTGCATCACGGAAAGGAATGTCTCGCATCAAACAATGACACACGAAACATTTCTATTTTTGGAAAATCTGTGATTTTGATGCTGAGCTCGGCAAGAAATCTTCCATCATAAACAACAGCATGATCTCTGCAATTCTCTCCATGGTCTTCAAAAATATTTGTCCCCAGCATGTGACACTGACAGTGAGTTAATTAACGAAGCACTAGAGGGGATTTTCAGCTGTCGCAAGCCTCTTCAATTCACCAAATCCCCAATAAGGAACAATAGGGCTTTTGGTATTGTACCCACGGGAGTTGAAAGCAGCCCAAAGTCATTTGGAGGAGTCTGCATCAAAAGATTCAGACAAGCGTGATTGAGTCCTGTGGCCCCCATCTTTGTCCCTCCAGCTGAGTCTGTGCAAGGATGACAGTTGGCTGTACATAGTTGTGGGGATAACATTATCTCTGTGTGATTATAGGTCACTAGCTCATGTCTGGAAGTCGGTGATTGTCTAGATTGATGAAACGGGCATATTTTATTACTTCTTGCTTTGATTCAAGTTCAGAACTATGATTATGTGTAACAGGTCTATGATAATGTGTAATAATGGAGAGAAGTGATAAAAGAGTTGAAAGATTATACATATCCCAAGACACAATGGTACCAGTGAGTGAGTGAGTGAGTGAGTTTAGTTTTACGCCACACTCAGCAATATTCCAGTTATATAGTGGCGGTCTGTAAATAATGGAGTCTGAACAGACAATCCACGATCAACAGCACGAGCATCGATCTACGCAATTGGGATACAATGACATGTGTCAACCAAGTCAGCGAGCCTGAGCACTCGATCCCGTTAGTCACCTCTTACGACATGCATGGGTTACTGAAGACCAATTCTAACCTGGATCTTCACAGGCTATGAGTGAGTGAGTGAGTGAGTGAGTGAGTGAGTGAGTGAGTGAGTGAGTGAGTGAGTGAGTGAGTGAGTGAGTGAGTGAGTGAGTGAGTGAGTGAGTGAGTGAGTGAGTGAGTGAGTGAGTGAGTGAGTGAGTGAGTGAGTGAGTGAGTGAGTGAGTGAGTGAGTGAGTGGAGTGAGTGGGTGAGTTGGATTTTACACCACAGTATTTATGTTACCATGGTGTATGATATGTGGGTGCTGCCTAGATGTGGGAGAAAGCACTGCAGGTCTGATACATATACAACACTGGTGAAACCCAAACGTTTTGGTACTAACAAACCTAGAAACATAATCAGCGTGACACTGGAAATTTGAAGTCACAACCATAGGATCCTGGATCACCAAAGAAAGGCAACTCTGCACTGAGGTCTGTGTGAGAGGTCATATATGCCTCTACCAGTCCATTTGTCTGAGATTACTAAAAATCTAGAGAACTGGTCATTTTCTTCCCAAATTGAGTTATATTATGCTAGTAAACATTCTGCTGATCGAAAATGAGCTGGAGACGATATGGACACACCCCATGGTATCACCTTCACCACTGTTCCTTGTACAAATATTAACATTTATATTCTGTGAAGAAGGAAAGCACTGAGCAAACTGACCCAAATGCATTTATATTAATGATTAGAGTTGGTATTGTATCTATGACGGGAAGCGAACCCAAGTCTTCATCTTGAATAAGTCTTCATCTTGAATAATAACTCATGAGGGGACACCTTGTTTTACAAGTGAACACACTAGGCCATAGTCCCATGCTCAGAGATTTAATAACTCATGAGGGAATGAAACCTGAGTCTTCAGCTTTACAAGTGAACACCTTCACCACTGGGCTACCCAACAGTCCCATAAATGCTCAGAGATTTAATAACTTATGAGGGGAATGAAACCTGAGTCTTCTGCTTTAAAGTGAACCCTACCACTGGGCTAGGAACATGATAAATGCTCAGAGTCTTCAGCTTTCATAAGGGGAATGAAACACGAGTCTGAGTCTTCAGCTCAGCTTTACAAGTGAACACCTTCACCACTGGGCTACCCAACAGTCCCATAAATGCTCAGAGATTTAATAACTTATGAGGGGAATGAAACCTGAGTCTTCAGCTTTACGAGTGAACACCTTCACCACTAGGCTACCCAAGAGTCCTTGTCATCTTGTCAATTAAAACAGCACAGTGTTGGGAGTTATTGGGCTTGTTGGGTGAAATGTTCACATCACACCACAACGACACAGTTCTCAAGTCACAAAACACTTTTGTCCTTGCCCCAGACTTATATTAATCGACTTTCCACCTGGCTTCTCTCACCTAACAGAACAATACCAACTTTCTTTCCATTTACCAGTACAGCACGTACGAACATGACGCAATATCCCCTATACACTGTTTGTGTAACTCTTCTTAAATAAACCTGATCAGGGCTGGACTTGTTTTCCTCACTGCCCTGAACATGGATATTTCTATTTTCTCCAAGCTCCAACATGCCTCAGTTGCACAACTGCATAGTTTTTCTAATTGCACGAGATTAGCGTCACATGTTTTCAATCACTGCACACACAGTTCCTCTCTATAACCACATCCATGTCATGGTGGTACGAGTCTGGTGATTTTCCATCAAGGGTGCGACCAGGATGACTTGGAAGCTAAAATAAAACACTTGACATACGAGACACGATGGAGGTCAATCACTTAACTTGATGCATGATGTGGCTCACATTTAAACTCCCAACATAGACCTGCATGTCCAGTGTTCCTGTATAGCTACTGGTATATTCTGGTATATTCAAACGTTTTCTTGTCTCAGGTTCCTCCACCAATACCCGCCGTGATGTTGCTGGAATATTGCTAAAAGCGGCGTAAAACCAAACTCAGTCAGTCAGTCCACCAATACACACATTTATGCCAAGATACAATAAAAATTAAATTTCATACATTTACTTCATTCAGCTTGATGTTTCTTCACCAGCATTTATAAAATGCTCTCCTTCTGGTCGAGGTAGGAGCAGAGAAATACATAAATAATTATCTACGGCCAAATCATTAACTGATTCTTATGATTTTAACTATTTCTAAACATATTCTTCATATATCTCGGGCGGTGGGGTAGCCTAGTGGTTAAAGCATTCGCTCGGCACGTGGAAGACCTGGGTTCGATTTCCCACATGGTTACAATGTGTAAAGCCCATTTTTGGTGTCCCCCCGCCGTGATATTATTGGAATATTGCTAAATGCAGAGTAAAACTAAACTCACTCACTCACTCACTCACTACATATATCTCAATCATAAATATAAAGACATATCACATTTATATATCAGATTCGTTATTTTCAATTATTTTTGAATATTTTTATACATCATCACAGACACGAGGAAACAGTTTACTTAAACAGGACAGAGGAAAACATCTAGAGCACACTTGTGTAGCTAGGTTATCTCCCTGCACTGTTTTTATCTCTAGCTTATCTCAGGGCAAACGTGATACGAATACTATCACTTGATAGGGAAAGTTATCTAGGTGTTTACCAATTCTAATCTAGGGCACAGCCCTATGTGGTGGACATATTTGCAGGATACACATTTTAGTGAGTGAGTGAGTATAGTCTTGTGCCGCTTTTAGCAATATTCCAGAAATATCACGACGGGGACACCAGAAATTAACTTCACACACTGTATACCTGTGGGGAATCAAACCCTGGTCTTCGGTTTGTTGAGCGAAGGCTTTAACCACTAGGCTACCCCACTGCCCCTACACATTGTAAATTTGAACCATAAGTTTCATAGTATTGAACCATAGACCTCCGTACATACTCTATCTATCTAGTTTCGTGCAAAAGAATCCCAGTCATCTTTGATACATTGCTGATGGCAGAAGTACAGATACGCTGCGTATCTGCGTAAATTATGCAAATATCTATGTGAATAATCAATTCCTATGAAATCTATTGCGTACAAGTACGCTTGAATTTTTGTAAATACTCAATAAATTTGATCTTACATGCATACACATAAAATAGATGAAATAACTGAGGTATATTGAGAGGTTCTATTTGAGCACATGAACTTGGCAACTTGCAAATCTTTCTGATCGTTTCTCCTATTACAGATCAAATATAAATAACAAACACATAGACCAACATTGAAACTTTATTATATTTTTAAAATTAAAGGAAAAACGGCAAAATACCCCAATTGAATTTGAGTGTGGTGGGTACAATTTGACTACTCAAAGAAAATTAGGATACCCAATTGAGATGAACACAAGTGAGTACATAACTCAATGACCCAAAAATGTATCTGTAGCTCTGCTGATGGAAAATCACAAGACACATCACCACAGGGGTGAAAATAACTTTAAAATTGATGGTGTACTCCGGAACAGTGGCACATGTAAAGTCACTTGCCCTGATAATTTTTCCACTATGCCAACCATTTTCTTGCTGATTTTTTAAATAAACAGCATAATTAACATTGGAAAGTCAACTGGACACCGGTACAGTGTGATATACAAATTTGCTTGCCCGACTCAAAAAAAACACTTGACTCGGACGTCGGGCGATGGGTTATTTCCACCCCTGCACCATGATGTGGATGCAGTTATGTCTTTGCATCTTTATAGGTATCTCACATGTCATTATAATCAGGGGGGATATTGCAGACAAATCCTGATTAGTGGTACCTTTAATTCGTATTCAATATTTAATAAGGAAATGAACAGAAGTTGGCATGTATTGGAAAGTTTCAACAGTTATTGTAAATGAATTCATTCTTTCTACAAAGCCAGGATTTTAAATCTGACTTTGTAGCCCTCAGACTACTGCAAATGCCACGACAGTGTATCATGGACTGCTTCAATTGTCAGGAGCCAACCGTAGTATGCAATCTTTACTTTTAACACAGCACATTTCCTGTTTCAAACAGGCAATGTGTAAAAAATTATTTCTGATTTGCCAATATTTTGATATTAGCTTTTATTACAAATCATAAGGCTCACTGAATTCACCCTGTCAATGAACACAGACCTTGAAAAGCACAACCTGTTACCACTATTTCATTAAGTACACATATGAAATAGTATTATTAGGAACGTTTTGATTTTTTTGAAAATGATCTTTATTGCATTTCAAAACACTTTTAGGAAATTAATTTTAAATAAACCCTGACAACAACTCTAAAATTTTAAGTTTGACTCTGCCTCTTGGCCAAGTCCATAAAACAAGGAAAGAAGTCTGATCGTACCAAACATACATTTTCAGATTTATGAGTCATGGATAAACATGTCTCTGACGAAATAGACAAGTGTCCTGCATGCTGAAGTGTCACTCAAACCAACATGTACACCAGTCAAGGTCACACCAGGGGTGACCACATCAAAGGTAATCACTCTGCGTCACAAAGGATCTGACCTGCAGTGCTGGATCTATTTTTGGACTGGAAAATCCACTTGGAGACTCTATTTCA